TGGCATTCAGCGCCGCCTCCCCGTCGGGCACGCCCAAGTCCCGCTCGCGGACCCAGGTGCCCACACTCCGGGTCTCGAGCGCCGCCGGGTCGTCGGGCGGCTCCGGGAGGTCCAGGCAGAGCTCGCTGCGGCTACGGCTCCCGGTGGGGTGGCCCAGGAACTTCTGGCTCTTGAGCTGCACCGTGAGCTGCCGCTTCTCCTCCTGCAGCACCGACAGCTTCACCTGCAGCACAGGGATCAGCTTCACCTGCTCCTCCAGCTGCCTCAGCTTCCGCAGGGCACCGGCCATCTGCTCCCGCACGTGGGCCAGGTGCCCGGCGCTGGGCGGCACCGGCGTGGACAGTCCCGAGCTTCGAGGCGTGGGCGGCGGCAGCCCCACGCCCACCAGGGAGCCCGTGGAGCCGGCGGCGCTGGGCGTCAGGGAGCCCAGGCCGGGGGGCGCGGCCGCCTGGTCCTCCAGGCGGCGCCGGGCGTCCAGCAGCGTGCGCTCCACGCGCGGGTTGAAGCCGGAGCGCGTCTCCAGGGCGCCGTACTGCGGGTAGAAGCCCCGGCCGCAGTAGGAGTAGGCCGAGTGGCGGCTGTCCCCGCTGGCGTTGGAGCACAGCGACTCGGTGGACGTCCACCAGGAGCCAGGGCCTCGCGGCAACGAGCCCAGACGGGGACGGCGCTGCACGGCCACCCGCCGCAGCGTGTGGCCCTTCTCGATGTCGTCCACGTACTTGAGAAAGTCCAGGTCCAGGCGGTAGCCGTAGGGGGTCTCCACTGAGTAGGGTGGGTCAGGCTCCTTGGCGGGGAAGGCAGGCGGGGAGGCTGGGCCCGGGGTCCCTGGGGTGGAGAGAGAGGCCAGCACCTCTAAGCACTGCTGTCCCCCTGCCTGGGCCCAGGCTGATGCCCAGGAGGGCCAGGTTCCATGTGCCCGAAGGCTGGAGCCCACCTGGTATTCCACAGCGACTCCAGGTCACCCTCAGGCCTCCCAGGGCAAGGCTAAGCTCCCTGGAGACTGGGCGTCCTCCTGCCTGCCCTGAGACAGAGGGCCCGGACTGCCTCCCTCTCAGTCCCCCAGCAGGGCTGTCTCTCCCCCACACTCTCCCAGGACAGCGGGGCCCACCCCCAGAAGGAAAGGGTGTCCCACTCTGACTCTCTGTGCTGACCCTGTCTTGTGCCTCCCAAGTCTCCCAGCACAGGGATTTCTGGCCCCTTCAAACTAAACCCCTTCCCAGCGAGAAGTTTCCTTCCTTCAGATCCCCCGGCCACGGCAGGGCTGTACTTCTCCTGCCCAGGACCCCAGTGCTGCACCATGTCCCCCAACAGCCTCCCAGGACAGGTCCCTATCTCCCCCTTGGGTTACCCCTTCGTCCCAGCAAGATTCTGTCTCCTTCAAGTCCTCCCAGGGCTGGGCTGTGGCCTCCCCCTCGGCCCTCAGGGCAAAGCCCTGGCCAGAACTCCCAGGGCAGGGCCCTTCCCCCTCCCCCCCAGACCCCTGACCTGGGAAAGGGGCGGGCACATGCAGGACTTGGGCCATCTTCTTGTCTGCAGTTGTTCCTCAGGAGTCACTTGGGGGACAGTGAATCAGACTGCCTGCAGCACTGGCTGAACGTTACCTGGGGAGAGGGGGTGGTGGAACGGGTCAGGAGGAGTCAGTCTGCAGGGGGAGGGGAATGTGGCCACACAGTGGCCCCACCCAGGTCTGGGACCCTCTCATATGCACACACCCTGCCGAGCCAAGGAAAGGCCCGGAACAAAGAAACCAAACCTAAGGCCTGCGTGCACATCTGTCCAGCCCCTGGACAGGCTCCAGCTGTTCCCACAGCCCTGCCTCCACACACACCAGGGCCGGGGGCCCCAGGCCTGACAGCCCCACCCTTCCTGAACCCCCTCTCCTTAGCCCAGGCCTGGAGCTGGCCACAGAAAAAATTGGGGGCTAAGACAGGCTGGGGCGCTAATGGAGGACAGTCTTCCTGCAAGGATCTAAGAAGCCACACAGGGGTAGTGGACCCCTAGGCGACCCCAAGGCAGAGAGCCCTGATGGGGGGTAGGGAAAGTGGGAGGCACAAAGCCCTTCCCCTTTATGGAAACAATTTTCTCTAAAAATAAACAGTTTCACTGCTGGGCTACACAGAACTTCCTGCCCCCCCAGGATGTGTCCGGGCTTGGGGGTGCAGCAGGGATAGAGGGCTGGGGCGGAGGCCCGGGAAGCCATGGGGTGGAGGGGAGGAAGTAAGAGGGGGCGCCTGGAGGCTGCAAAAGGGAGGAACAATCAGGGCTTCTCACTAAACCCCCCTCAGCCCTGGAGACTAGCCAGGGCCCTTTTGTCCCCCAAACCCTGCCTGAACTTGGCCAGTCCTTTCTGCAATCTGACTTCTAGCCACCTTGCTGCAGAACCCATAGCTCATCCCACAAAGAAAGTGAACCCTTTCTGGCATGAGGGTACCTGGGCAATGGGTACCTGTGAAGATGGACCAAGTGGGGCACCTGTTGGGCATGAAGGCAGGGTTGGGGTTCCAGGGACAGCTGAGTATGTCTTCTTGTCCTGTCTTGCTTAGTCTCTCTCCACGTCTTTCTCTTTCCACTCTTCTCTGCCTGTCTCTCCACCTCTCTGTCTCTCAGTCTCTCCACTTCTCTTTGCCTGTCTCTCCACGTCTCTGTCCTCGCTTCACTGGCTTTCCACACCTGGAATGCACGGTCACCAGTTTTTCCATCTGCCTGCAGCCTCACCCCCATGAGCAACAGGAAGTTGATCTGAAACATTTTCTGGGGACTTAGGAGAGACCTAGAGGCAGGGAGCAGGTTTGGTATAGCCTGGGGCAGGGGGAGCAGGTACACCCAGTAGGTGTAGCAAATAACATCAACACTATAACAATAGTCAAGGTGGGTAGTTATTTCTCTGGCTTACAGATGGAGAACCTAAGGGGGCAGAAAAGTGCATCGACTTGTTCGGGTCACTTGGGCAATGGAAAAGCCAATCAACTAGAACCCACCAAGCCACTCCCTGTAGACTCCACGGCCCTCTACCCATTTCCCAGACATGGAGGTCTGCAGGTCTCCAATTATCTGACCACCTTCCATGGCCAAAGAAAGAGACACTGGGAGTGTGGGGTGGTAGCATGTGGGTGGAAGGACTCCTGGGAGAACAGGAGGGGAAAGAAGGGTCAGGTAGGGGAGCTCAGGGAAGGGGTTAGGGATCTCCAAGAAGGGTCAGGTGGGGGAGCTCAGGGTAGGAGTATAGGGTCTCCAAGAAGGGTTAGGTGGGGGAGCTCAGGGAAGGGGTACAGGGGTCTCCAAGAAGGGTCAGGTGGGGGAGCTCAGGGTAGGGGTACAGGGTCTCCCCAAAGCACCTCCCTGCCAGCCAGGACATCTCCGGGGTTTTTCTGCCCCTCTCTCCGCCCCAAAGTTGGGGGCGAGGATACCCCGCCCCATGCCGGGAGGGGCGGGGCCTGCGGGGTCCCAGGCTAATAGCAAACAGCTGCCGCTCCCCACGCCGACCCAGCCGCCAGGCCGAGGCCCAGCCCGGCCGGACGCCGGGCCGCCTTCCCGCCGCCTGGGGCCTGGCCCCGCCGCAGAGGGCGGGAGGAGGGACAGAAGGGCGGGAGGGCAGGACAGGGGCCGAGAGAGGGAGAGAGGCCGCGAAGGAGAGAGGTAGAGGGGAGGCAGGGGTGGGGAGAGGGACAGGCAGGGCACGGTGGAGGGATGGAGGTAGATGCGGGAAGTGGGGCTAGGGTCAAAGATGGGGAGGGGACAGGGGCGCGAGACCGAGATGCTCTCAGTCGGGAAAGTTCGGGACAGTTGAGGTTGGAGGCAGTGGTTCCTAAGGAACCACGAGGTTGTGCCCGGAGTTGGAGGTGGGGAAGGAACCGCACACGAACTCCGAACCCGACTCGAAGCCCGACCCAAGCCCGGGTCCTACTCGCCTGGCGCGCTCCGGCCGCCGCCGTCCCTGCGTCCCGCCGCCCTTGCGTCCTCCGCGCCGCCGCCTGGCCGCCCGGCCCTCGGGCTGGCCCCGCCCCCGGCCCCGCCCCCGGCCGGCCCCGCCCCTCGGGTGCCCCAGGCCAGTAGGGTCAGGGGAAAGGCGGAGTGGTGGGGTGGACGCGGTCTCACCTGCACGGCAGGTGTGTGTGCACGTCGCGGGTGCCCGACTCGTCCCCCTTTGTCCCCGCCAGCCGTCCCAGGGGCTGGATCCCCCATCGCTGGCCTCCCCCGCCCTCTGCATCTGGGCGGCCGCGGGGGGCGGGGCTGGCCGGGGCCCAGCTCGGGGAGGGCTCTGGGGCGGGCGCGGCGGCGGGAGGTCACCCTTCCCCCCCACCCCCTGCCCCGCGCAGGGCTGGAAGCGGCCCAGCACAGGCCTGGTACACGGTGGCGTGACCATCGCGGGCTGGGAGGGGGGCTGCTCTAGCGCGAGGCTGCATAGGCGGCGGCTAAGGCCTGGGCGCCAGAGTCAGCCAGACCTGGACTCCAATCCCAGGCTCATCCATCTTTTATTGCACCGAGCCCAAGTTTCCCCATCTGCAAAATGGGGCTAATCATGTCGTCAATCTGACAGGAATGTTGAGAAGATTGCTTAACCACTAGGCAGGAGCCCAATAGAGGTCCCTCAGTAAAAAAGCCCATAAATGGGGTGGCCACATTTTTTAAACTTTAAAAAAAGTTTCACCTTGCTGGGACTGAACCCAGGGCCCCATGCCTGCCAGGCAAATGCTCTGCCACTGAGCTACACCCCCATCGCGGGGTGGCCGGCTCTTCTGGAAGCACTCCGTGAGGACTTGATAAGTGTTGTTATTATTCCCAGTGGATTTGTGGATTATTTGTGTCACTTTCCCCACTAAAGTGTCAGCTTCACGAGGGCAGTCACCACTGTACCCAGCACTCAGGAGGTTATCAGTGTCTCAGTGGGTGTCACAGGACACATGGCTGTGAGGGGATGGACTGTACACACGTGACCCATCCCCCAGTGACCACATCATACAGGCTGCATATAAAAACCATTTTAAATTAAAAAAGGGAGCATCAGTGCACACAGACAGGAGCAGACAGACAGAGGAGCAGAGGGCTCAACCCCAAGTACAGTGCAGACACCCTGAGGCTGAGAGGGCAGTAGGGGCGACTCCCAGCAAGGCACAGACAGCTGAGGCCTGGATGCTGGTCCTCTGGGCTCAGAGGTCTGCCCTCCGAAAACTTGCTCTGTTCAGAGAGTTCCTGGGGGAGGAACAGGGTTAGTCAGCATGGGTCCCCAGCAGGGCCTCCAACTCCACAGGGCTCCCCCCTCCACCTCCTCTTATGACACCGCCCCTCCTCTTCCAAAGATCTTTTTAAGCTCTCTCCTGCCCCTTTTATCTTCGCCCTGATCTGGCTGTGGGGTTTGCAGATTCTTGGAATCCGCCATGAGAGGTATGAATCCGGCCAGTTTCACAGATGTGGAAACTGAGGGTCAGACAGCTGAAGACACATGTCAGGGACATGGCCTCCCAGAGACTGCCCTGCCTTTGTACGTATGGAGATATGCAAAGCTGTGAGCTCCGCCAGAGTTGCTATGCAAGTGTGTCTGTCCTGGCCAGCCTCCGCTTGCCCTCTGTAGGGTAGGGGGCCCAGGTTGGACACCTGAGGCTGGCTGGGGTTGGGGCCAGCAGCTGGGGCAGGCGCTGGGTGAGCAGGGGCTGCAGCGCTTCCCGCAGGCGGCAGTAGTGGCGCTCCAGTTCGCGGTGGTACTCCTTCTGGTCAGGCCCAATCAGGGCTTTGTTCTTCCGCAGAGCGTCCTCACATCTGAGGGCCAGAGGGCAGGAGATGGTCAGCAGAGAAAGCAAGTCCCTGAGGACCCAGCCTGCAGGTAGACCCACCAGGGGGTCAGGCAAACTGAGCAGGAGCTATCAGCAAGAGTGGGGGCCCGTTAAGTGAAGAGCTGGAATGGGGGACACAGGAGCCTTTGGGAGAGTGTCAGACCTACTTCTTGCAGAAGTCCTTGAAGCAAAGCCGCAGTTTGTTATGATGCCGGAAGAGCTTGGGGTCTTCTGGGATCTCTGCCAAAAATACCTGAGCCACCTCCAAGGGACCCTACAGGGTGACAGGGACCCATGAGGGTGCCTGCATGGGGCCTAGAGTCGCCCTGGGAGCCTGCACCCCCCGGACCAGCCGTGCCTGGTTCACAGTGGGCCCCACAGAGCCCTGCAGCACCATCTGTAGCATCTTGGCATCTGGAGGGTCCTGTTCAGTGGCAAAGGCCAGCTCCCGTGTCTTCTTCTGCATGTCCTCGATGGCCACCTCCACTGGTGTAAGCACTGTCTGCGGGTGAGGGAGGGTGTATACACTTGCTGGGGCCTGATGGTGTCCTGACCCGGTCAGCCCAAGGAAGCTGGGATCCCACTGAGGGCAGAGGGCCCGAGAGGCTGGCGATGAATGGGCCCTGGGGGCTTCTGTCTGCTGGGCTCTGCCATGGTGGGGGTACTGGAGCAGCTGCCTTTGACTCTGTGGTGGCATGGTTAGGGTCCAGCCTTAGAGGTTAGGTCTGGTGCCCTTGAGTCCAACGTCCCTATGTCTAAGGTCTCCAGGCCTCCCTGGGTCTGGAGGTCAGAGTTTGAGGTGCCCCCCACCTCTCCAACCCAGTTCTGGGGTACTTGAGCCTCTTCCTGGATCTGGGGTCTCCAGGCCTTTCCTCTCTGGCTGGAAGGGGATGGACTGTACATCCAGACCTCTCTGGGTTGCCCTGGGCCCACAGTTCACAGCACCTCTCCTTTCTGGGTCTTCCTTGATCTGGGATCCCCATGCCACCCCTTTCTAGGTCTGGATTGCTGAGCCAACCTAGGTCTAGGGTCCCTATACCTCCCCTTCCCAGAGCCCGCTGAATCTGATGCCCCCCTCCCCTCCCTGCGCCCACCTCCTCCCGGTGGCACACACGGATGCGCGTCTTGATGTAGGGGAAGGCGTGCTCAGTGCTGAGCAGGGTCTTGCGCTTGTGCTGCTCGGGCAACTCCCCGTGTGCGCGCCCATCTGGCGTGAAGGGCGTGCAGAACAGGAAGGCTCGCAGCCCGTAGTTGCGGTCAAAGTAGGTCACGCGGTCCTTGAGCTCGTAAGTGTCGAAGTGCGGCTCCACATAAGTGATCTGGATGTAGGCCTGGGGTGTGGGGTGGGGGTGAGGGTTCCACAGCCCCAGCACAGACACCTGGGGCCCCAGGCCTGGGGAAAGAGGCCCTGGCTGCCCTGAGTCTGGGGGCTTTTAATTCTAGGGTTCCCAGGTCTTCCTACATCTGGATGACTGGGACTGCCCTGAGGAATAGGCTTTAGGAAAATAAGTTTTGGAGTTGTGTAAGAGAAATAGGATTTTAGCTTCTCTGGGAAATAGTATTTAGAATCTCCTTTTATACAGGATTTTGGGAGGATGGTTGAGAGCCCACCTTCTGTGGATCCAGCTTGGACTTGTCCACGGGGTTAGAATCTTTGATGATCTCCACCACATCGTCCCCAAACCTCTCTGTGTAGAACTCCTGAGGACATGGGGCTGACTCGCATCTGCACAATTGCAGCCCCCACTCCAGTCCCCAGGCAGCCTGGTGTCCTGCCCGCCCCCCCATCCCCCAGAGACTGGACTTGCCTCTAATCGGTGGGAGATCTCAGCCAACTTGGTGATTGAGGGCTCCTTGTACACAAACTCCTGCTCGTCCAGGTCCCCAAAACGTGCGCCATAGAAGCCCACTCGGAAATACGTCCCGAATACACGCTGGGGCTGGGAGAATGGGGTTTTGAGGTCTGGGAGGCACCTCTGGAGGCCTCCCTAATCCAGAGATGGGTGTCCTTGTGCCCCACAAGGCAGAACGCAGAGGGAAGCAAGATAGGGCTGGGGAGGAAGTTGGCATGGACAAGGGGGACCCCCGAGAACATCAGGAGGGGGTTATGAGGACCTCAAGAACATCCAGTCAAGAGCACAAGCAGAGGACCTGGAGAATGTCAGGGCGTAGGTCTGGACCACAGCCAACTGCCCATACTCCCCGACCTGTCTACCTCCCCAAGTTGTTGTTCTCATTTAACACCCCAGACTTCTGTTTTTCCCGCCTCTCTATGCAGCGGTTCATCATCTGGATCCCAATACCAAATTAGGACCAGGACTGTATTGCTCATATCTGGGTCCCGATGCCCATGGGGCTGGTATGTAGCAGGTGCTACATAAATGCTTGAATGGCTGAAGGGTGATCGGGTTGTCTTTTGCTTTGGGACAGAGGCTCTGGCTGCATTGTTCTAGGGCATTTGTCTCCTGCCAGAGCCTGACGTTTAACAGAAGGAATCCCTCTTCACCCCAAGAATGCCACCTCCCCCAGGAAAGGAAGTTGGGTGCTCAGGTCACTCACCAAGGCAGATCCGGGCAGGGCGGAGCAGACACAGTGGGGCCGGAGGTGGGGGGTGCACAGAGAGAGACAGTCATGGCAGGGGTCAGATGTCACCCCCCTCCCCTCGGGTCCTGGCCATGGCACCCTATGAGAATCACTCCATGGGCAGAGATCAGGGCTTTGGGGAGGGAGGGGCCCCCACCCAGCACGCCTGCCAGGACTCTGGGTTCCTGCCATCTTTGGCCAGAAAATTCTCCCTAAACTAGGAGATGCCTAAAAATAGAAGGGAAGAGGCGGGACTGGGGGGGCATTAACCAGAGATGAGGAGCAGAGATCCTGTGGGAAGCTGGGAGTTGTGGAGGCAGGACAGAGACTAGACACTTAGAAAGGGAGAGCCAGAGTGACAGGCCAGAGACAGCTGAGGAGAGACGGAGGAGAGAGACACAGGCAGAGGCTGAGAGAGGGCGAGGGAGACCCGCAGCCCCTCCCTCCACACCCCCCATGCAGCAGCAACAGCTAGCCCTGCCTGCGGGAGGGGTGCCTCGAGAGCCACCAGTTGGGTGACTCACATACTGCCCTGGAGATCTGGGGCAGGGGGGGACGTCTGGGGAAAGGGGGGGAGGTGGAGGGGGGTGCGTCATCACCCACAGAGCCTCGGGCCCCCTTGGCCAGTGGTCACGCTCTTCTTGTGCCCCCTAGTGGTCCCTGACCGCTGCTGACCAGGCATCACAAGGGTCCCTGAGGCAGGTGGCCTTGGAGGGCAAGAGGACTCACCTCCCAGCCGGAGCTCTGTGGGGGAAAGTCAAGGTCAGCTGGGCCTGGGATGGGGATGGAAATGGGGGGCCCGAAGGCAGTCCTGGGGATCGTGTCCTGGGCCCACCTGGTGCATGATCTTTGTGAAGGCTTCCTGCAGCTTGCCGTGTACTGAGGCCAGCTTCTTATAGTCACGGTGGGCTTCCAGGATGGGGATGAGGTTCTTGTAGACTTCATTCACTGCCTCATAGAGCCCACCCTGGAGTGGGGCGGTGGAAGGCATGGGGTCAGGATCCCCCAAACCCTCTGTGCTGCCTAGAACCCCTGCTGGCTTTGCTCCTGTCCCCCCACTCTGCTCCTACTAGCTCTCCCTCACCTCTTACAGGAAGTCCACCCTGACCACTGTCACCCAGATGGGGCACTGGCCTTTCTGCTTGGCCCCCACAGAGTCCTCTGTGCTCTCTAATTTGTAACAAGCTTCCAATGTCAGATGCTGGGTACATCTGTATTTTGTTCCTTTATTGCTGAGAGGAGCTCTGTGCTCCTTCTCGGTGGTGGTGGGGAAACTGAGCCTCAGATACATGAAGGGGTTCCTGAGGCCAGGATCTAAACACCAGCCCATCTGGCCTGGTGCCCGACTTCCATGCCCAATTGTTTCCTGGCACGTGACAATAATCATCTGTAGGTGCCCCTTGCCCCCAGCTGCGGCCAGCATCTAGCCTGGCACACAGCAGGTACCCTTAAGTGTTTGTTGACTGACTGTCAGAAAGTCTGTGTCCACTCTCTGGCTTCTACCCAAGGACATTGTCTTTGAAGACTCCAACAAAGTGACAATAATTAAATAATTAAAACATCACTAGAGGAGTTGGCATATTGAAAAAAATCTCACTGGGAGGGGTGTGGGTGTACCTAGTGGTAGAGTGCCTACCTGGCATGCCCGAGCTCTGGGTTCCTGGGTTCCATACCCAGCATGACAAAAAAAAAAAAAAAAAAGCATAAAACCTTATTTCAAAAATATAGGGAACTGACTGCAAACGGATTCCTCAGTTTTTGTCTTTTTAGATTAAAAGACTTCAGAGTCAGGGCAGTGAAATTACCTTGTATGATACTATGATGGTGAATGAATGTCACTGTACATGTATCAAAACAACCCTGCTGTGAACTATGAACTCTGGGTGACAATGTGTCAATGTAGGTTCACTGACTGCAGCAAATATGTCACTTGGAGAGACGTTGATAGTGCAGAAATCTCTGTGTTGGGAAGGAGGATATGGGAAATCTCTGTACTTGCTGGTCCATTTTGCTATAAACTGAAAACTACTCAAAAAAAAAAAAAAGTTTATTTTAAAAAAGTATTTTAAGTCAGGTCCAGTGGTGCATGCCTACGATCCCAGAGACTCGCAGGCTGAGGCAGGAGGATTGCAAGTTTAAGGCCAGCTCCAGCCATTTATTGTGAGGCCCTCAGCAACTTGGTGAGATCCTGTCCCAAAATAAAAAAATAAAAAGGGCCGGGGATATAGTTCAGTGGTAAAGAGCCCCTAGGTTCAATCCCTAGTACCAAAAAAAAAAAAAAGTGTTTTAAAAAGACTTAAGATGCATAACACTAACTATTAGCAGGATGATGAAGCTAACAATAAAGTATCATACATTCCCAAATAGCTGGAAGATGGATGGGTGCAGCTCAGTGGTAGAGAGTTTGCTCAGACTGTGTGAGGCTCTGGGTTACATCCCAGCACCATCAAAAAAAGGAAAGACAGAGGACTTTGAATGTTCTTAACTGAAGAAATAATAAATATTTCAGTTGATGGAGACACTAATTACCCTAATTTGCTTATTCCATACTGGTACCTGATTCATATGGTATAGACATTGTATCTATGCTTATATCATCGCATACTTGTACCAAAACATCAGGCAGGAGGATCAAAACCAGCCTCAGCAACTTAGCAAGACCCTGTCTCTTAAATAAAATATTAAAAAGGGCTGCGGATGTGATTCAGTAGTTAAGCAGCCCTGGGTTCAATTCCCAGTACAGAAATCACATTGTACCCCATAAATACAATTCCCAGAAACAGAAATCACATTGTACCCCATAAATACAATAATTACATATCAATTTAAAAATTTTAAAAAGGGACTGGGGCTGTAGCTGCAGCTTAGTGGTACAGCACTTGCCTACCCTGTGAGAGGCCCTGGGTTCCACCCCCAGAACCCCACCCCCCACACGCAGAAAGGCCCCCATCAGCCATAGTAATGATGGGCCCCTTATGGACCCTGGTTCAAGATAGGCAACTGAAAAAAAAATCTATGTACACACACACAGTGTCAGCGACTGCATCCAGGGCCCTGTGCACGCTAAGCATGTGCTCTACCGCTGAGCTGTACCCCCAGTCTCCAAAATGATAACTAGGATACATCAGGGACATCCAAACGTGGACCGGGATGAAGTGATAGTAAAGCATTCCTATGAACTCGCTCCTAAGGGAGGAGAGTTTTGTAAAGGGCTTTTTTCTGTCAGTGAGGGCCACACACAGAGGCAGTGAGCACATGACGGGCGACAGCTGGGATGTGTTTCAGGCCGGAGTGTCTCAGGCGTGCACAGGCGTACGAGTCTTTGGGGTCTCGTTTAAGTTCAGGGCCTGGTTGGAGGGTAGCAGAGGCCAAGGACTCTGTGTTTTTTAAGTATGTTTTTAGTTGTAGATGGACACAATACCTTTATGGGGTGCTGAGGATCGAACCCAGTGCCTCACGGGCACTAGGCAAGCACTCTACTGCTGAGCCACAACCCCAGCCCCGGATGTGCATTCTTAATAACCCCCTGGGTGATGTCCACTACCAGCTGGACCATGTTGAGCGGGGGGAGGGTTTAAAATGCACTAGCGGCATGTGTTTTATAAAAACTGTGAACTCTGTCCTTTTATATGTCAAAAAAACAAAAAATACTCTAAAATAAACTCCAGGAAAAAAACGTTAGGGACGAAGAAGAGATGAAACACAACAGAATAACACAGGTAGCTGCAGAATTGGGGTGATGGGTATGGGGCAGGGGGCATATGACAACTTTCTTTAAACTCCCCCCACCACCACCCAGTACTGGGGGTGGAACCAAGGGCCTCACACATGCTAAGCACGCATTCTACCAATAAGCTACATCCCCAGTCACTTAAAACTGTTAATTGGCTTTATTTTCAATTCCAGAATTGGGCCACACTTCATTCCATAAAATGGAATAGGTGTTCCAAAGAGTGGAGTGGGAGTTGCTTTTATATTTTATTTATTATTCTGCTGTATAGGGGATGGAACCCAGGGCCTTGTGCCCGCTAGCTAGACAAGTGCTCTACCACTGAGCTACATACACCCCCAGGCCTTTTAATTTTTTTTATTTTGGGACAAGGCATTGCTAAATTTCTAACTTGCGATCCTCCTGCCTCAGCCTCCTGAGTAGCTGGGATGACAAGTGTGAGCCTGGCTCAGAGGCTGGTTTTATAAAGGACAGAAAAGGGCAGAAGCAATAAGCTTCTGTCTTCCTTCCCACTGCTGCAAAGGTTCTATGGAAACAAACCTCCCGTTGCAGCTGTGTGTGGAAGGAGGGCTGGCTACAGCCAGGCCTGTTCCAAAGGTGTAATGGGGAGAAAGGCAGGAAGAGGGCTTCTGAGGAGCAACATCGTCCTTGCTAAGTCCCCAGCAGGGAAAGGCACGGGCAGAGGTCAGCTGACACCCCGGCCGGCCGAGCCCTGTGCTGCAGCCCCGGGCCTCACCATGGTGAAGTAGGCGGCCGCCTGCTCCAGCAGCCCCACCAGCCCCAGCTCGGTGAAGTGCTTCCCAGAGCAGAAGCCCTCCTCGTCAGGAGACAGGATGTCGTCGGAGATGGCGGACTCCTCCAGCACGTTGGACGAGATGTTCTGGGGTGGGAGGTGGCGTCAGACCCTGGCCTGGCCCACCTGGCCTTCCCCTCCCTGCTCGCCACCCCCACCCGCTCACCTGGAAGGACACACAGCCCACAGGCAGGTGGCGGCTGTCTTCAAGCAGGGCCAGGTACTCGGCCACAAGGGCGGCGGCGTGCACCATGCACTGGGCGGCTTCTGCGTGGTTGCCCAGCTCCGCGTGCTTCCCCGCCATGTTCTGCAGCCACGTCAGCCGCAGGTCCGGGGAGCCCTGGTAGCCCCGGGCGATCCTGGTGTCCAAGTGAGAGGGACGTGAGGACGGGTCCCTCCCACACACCATCCACCCACGAGGCTCACTACCCCACCCTCTGCCATGGGCCGCCCATCTGCTTACCTGGTCCCATGTACCCATTTGTCCCCCACCCATCCCCCTGCCAGCCCATCCCCCACCTGCCTGTCCCCTCATCTATTCCCACACCTGCCTTCCGGCTCACCTGGCCCCTCCTGGCCCACCTCACCTCTTCCCCTCATCCCTCTCCTCACTTGTCCTCTGTTACCTGTTTCCTGGTGACCTATAAGTCTCCTCTGCTGCGCCTCGTCCACCTTCTGCTTACCTGACTCCACACTTATCTCCCCTCCTCCCCCATCTGCCTGTCTCCTCACTTATCCCACCCCCTCCTTCTTTCTTGTCCCCTCAACTGCCACCCCATGTCACTCTCACTTTGCCTGCTCATGAGCTCACCTGTGGAACCCTGACCCCCCTGAACTCACCATTCCTTTCTGTGCACCGTGTCACCTGACCCCCATGGGCACCTCCCAGGTGCCCTGCCATCCCTATCTCCAACAGGTGGGTCCCCCTGCCCAGCTCCCAACTCCACGTTTCTTTTCTTTCTTTCCTTTCCCTCCTGCCCCCCCTCCCTCTCTCCCTCCTTCCTTGCACAGGGCACTCGACCTGAGCGACCTCCCCAGCCTTTTCTAAAATTTTACTTTGACACAGCATCTTGCCAAGTTGCCCAGGCTGGCCGTGAACCTGTGATCCTCCTGCCTTGGCCTCCCGAGAACCTGGCACTACAGGTGAACTCCCCAGCCTCTGCTCCCCTCACCTCTCCTCCCCTTCACTTGTCCTGGTTCTCATCTGTCATTCTGTTATCATCTGGAATTCCCCCCACCCACTGGGGATGGAACCCGGGACCTCGCATGTACCAGGGAAGCGCTCCGCCACCCAGTCATCTCCAGCCAAATACAGCTTGGATCTCAGTGTCCCCTAGAGCCCATGAAGTAAAGGCCTGACCCCCAGAGGTGCTCTCAGGAGGTGATGGGTCTCTTAAGAGGTGGGGCCGCGAGGGATGTCATCAGGTCACTGAAAGCCCTGAAGGGGATCTGGGGCCCCAGCCTCTTCCTCCTCCCCGGTGTCCTGGTCACAGGGAGGGGCCCTGCTCTGCCACATGCTCCTACCATGTGTCTCTCTCCACGGCACAAAAGGAACGAGGCTGATCACAGACTAAGACCTCCAAGACCATGAGCCTGGAGGAAGCTTCTCTATGAGCTGACAGCTCGGGTCCCTGTCACAGTGCAGGGGAGCTGGGCCGCACACACGCTCCGCGGTGCGTTCCCTGGTGGTCCCCTGTGTCTCGTCGTCCCCTCAGGGGTCTGTCTGCTGGCCGGCCAGCTTCACCTGTCTGCTCTCCTGCCCCTTTACTTGTCCCTCCTGTCACTGCAGGCTTGCTCCTCCCCGCCGCCCCTTCTCTCCTGGGGCCAGGAGGCACGGGGCAGGGCCGCAGGCCGGGCGGGCGGGCGGGCTCACCGGTACATGAGGTCGATGAGCATCTCGGGGTCCTCCTGGTGCTCCTTCATCTTCACCGTGTCGGTCAGGATCATGTGCAGGTTGAACATCAGGTCCTGCACCTGGAGCCAGGGAATGTCCGCGGCCAACGAGGGTGGGGTCAGGGCTGGGAAGGGGAGGGCAGACCGCTGGCCCAGGGTGGGACACGGGCGTCACCTGCTCTGCGAAGGTGCTATCCCGCAGCCCCACGTCCTCCTCAGCGTAGGTAAGGATGGTCTTGAGGGACCGTCGCAGGTGCTCTTCACTGAAGTTCTGCGTTGTCCCCACAAGGGACGACAGTGACATGGTCACCTGCATCTTCACACGGGCAAAGTTCTGTGGGGCAGGGGAGATAGAGTGGCCCGGGAGCCTGGACACCAGGCCCCATCCAGCACCTGCCCAGGCTGCCGGCTGCTACCCCCATCTGCATGGAGGAGCCCATCCCACCTGAACCCCTCATCCTGACCCCTCTGCCCACCCAAGATGCTTGAGATGCTCGGTGACTGCCACCCCTCCCTCTTTCCCCTTGGGACACTGCGACCCCCACAGTTGCCCTGCCCCAGCCTGGCCTAGGCAGCCCCTCCCCCACTCACATGGCCGATCTCGTAGTTCTGGCGCATGAGCAGGTACAGGGAGGCGCTGGCGTGCGTGCGGATGGTGCTGATGCGGCTGCCACAGTGTCGCAGGAGCCTCAAGCAGAGGTCGGCACACAGCTCCGTGTCCTCCTCGAACAGCAGCTCTGGGAACTGCCCCGGGGACCCAGAGGACACTGTTTAGCCCTTCCCCGTCCTGGCTCGGGAGCTGCCAGATGGGGCTGGGCAGGGGCATCGGTGTTCTGCCCTCTTTGGCCATCAACAGTGGCCTGTGAAGTCAGAGCTGGCTCTGCACCCTTGCTGTGTGACCCGGGGGAGTGGGGTGACCACTCTGAGCTTCAGTCCCTTCCTCTGTAAACTGCAGCTAAGGAGACTGTTTCATGAAACTGTCAAGTAAATGCCCAGTGAATGGGCAGCTATTATGACTCTGTGAACTGTGGAAGTCGAGGGGTGCTCACCTTGGACACCAGAGCCCGCTGGGTGGCCAGGCCATGCTGCAAGAAGAGGGCACTCTGGGCGCTGCCCAGACTGTACAACACAACCTTCAGTACCGCGCCCAAGACGCTTTCTCGCGCCTCTGACAGCATCACCGTCTTTGGGGAAAGGGGCCAGAAATCCAGGTATTAGAGACTGGGGTGGTTACAGGCTTAGGGAAGGAAAGGGAGCGTAGAGTTGGAGATCACAGGGCACTGTGTGGGCACATGCTGGATCAAACCCTACCTGAACGATGATTTCCAGCGTGTCCAGAACCACCAGGCTGGCCTCTGTTGCCAGGTTCCCATCCACCAAGGCCTCATGCTCCATTTCATCCTTGGTCCTGAAGGGGAGATGAGGTCTTGTGAAGCCACTCAGGGCCAGATCCCATGTCACAACTGAGCTCCCTTCCTCCACTGGTTGCCCAGTGGGGCAGCAGCTCTCTAGAACCCCTCCCTGCCTGCTGCGGTTCGATATAGTTTGCATGTCCCTCAAGGGCTCATGTGCTGACAGCTTGGTCCTTAGTATGGCAATATTCAGAAGTGGGGATTAGCGCAATGTCCTTACGTCCCTCAGAAGAGATTAAGGTCGTTCTTGTGGGACTCCTTAGTTCTCAAGAGTGGACTGGTGGAAAAGCCTGGTTCCACCCACACAGGCTCCCACCACCATGATGCCATCTGCCAGAGGCAAAAACTGATGGGGTCACCTGGTCTTGGACTTTCAGACTCTAAACCATTTTTCTTTTCTTCTTCTTTCTCTCTCTCTCTCTTTTTTTTTTTTTTTGTATGTGTGTGTGGTGCTGGGAATGAACCCAGGGCCTCAGGCGTGTTAAATAAGTGCTATACAACTGAGAAACCTCTTTTCTTTATAAAGAGCCTTCCTGGAGTAGCTTGTTACAGTATCACACACACTGGACCTACTTGTCCACGCGGTCTGATGTTTGTTTCCAGTGTGTAACGCTCTTGCGCCATCGAACATTCTCCTGGTTCCCAAATGGGCTCCTCTCTGCGATGTGAGCGCGTGTTCATAGATGTATAAAAACAGGACGACACACATGAGCATGGGAAAAACACAGTATGAAGACACTGTCATGGGAAAATCCTGAGGGATGCTGGGCAAAGCTAAACCTTGCGGAGTAGGCAGGCACCCCAAACCCAAATAACATGAGGACAGATGGAGAATATGGACACTAGTGACACATGGGGGACTTCCTTTTTTGTGTGGGACTGGGGATGGAACCCAGGGCCTGAGCGAGGTAGGCAAGCCTCCACCAATGAGCCACACCCCAGCTGACAGACTTCCTTCTGGGCAAAGCTTGCTGCTGGGGGACTGAGGTGGCCTGCTGGTGGGGACGGGTCCTCCTCTCACCGCGACTCCTCCGCACCATCTCTTGCCGCGCCCCGATGGTGCCCAGGATGGCCTCCTCTAGCCGGGCCTTCATGTCCAGTGACTTCTTGAACGTGAGGCTGTTGATGCGCTCGAAGGCCTTTTTCCCCTGGGGGCCCAGAGGACTGGGGTTCAGAGTGACCTCTGCTCTTTCTGGGCAGCCCAGTCCTTCTGCTCTGGGCCCCATACAACCTCTAAGATCTTCGCTAGAAGATGCAGCTCACTTCTCTCTTTCCCATCTCACCACCTTCCAAATTCTATTCTTATTCCTTGGCTGACACAGAACTAAGCCCTTTTGACCTCAGCCTGGCGGGAGCCTGTGCGCAGACACCCCAGCCCTGCACGCCAGCCCACCGGGCCCCTTGAGCCTGCCCTGCACCACAGCCCCGCCCATTCCCTCGGACCTTGTACTCGAAGGCCGCCAGACAGAGGTACAGCAGATCCAGGAGCCGCCCCAGCTGCGGCAGGGCCAGGTCAGCAGCCCAGCGCTGCAGGAGGGCTGGCTCTGCGTTTTTCAGGACCCACAGCACGCACACCAGCAACGTCCGGCTGGACTCAGCAGAAAGCGGGCAGCCGGAGCGAGATGCCTGGGGCCAGAGAGGGCCAGAGCCGGTTCATTTTCTCCACTTGAGACGAATACTGGCCCATGTGTTTCTCATGACATGACTTCTCTCAGCCAGTTGGATGGTGTCCCCGGGCACAAGCCTCATACTTACGGTTGGAGGGCCCTGTGAGATGCTGGTCCGGGAGCCAGGGGCCAGGGGGCCACCCGCAATGGCCATGGCCACCGATGGGTTGATGGTACTTCCAATATCCCCTTCGCCTTCAGTGTCTGAGTCGAGCATGGAGGCCAGTCTTGACCGCTGGCCTGGGCCCTCTGCAGGGAGGTGGGGATGGGGGAGAAGAATGAGTCCTCAGCAAGTGCCAAACCCGGGCCCCAAGTTCCAGAAGTCTCACATCACCCCCTCCCCACCAGGTCAGGCTGGGATCTGACTTCTACACCCAGAACCTACTTTCTGCTTTTAATTAGATATTCTAATTATGCTACTGTTTGTCAGACCCACAGAAGCCTGGGCTCTGTCTACTCTGGGCACTGCTAGGTGCTCAATGGCTAGACGACAACCTGGCCCACAGGACTCTTAGGGACACAGAGGGCTGCGTGTGGTGCTGTGCACCTGTAATCCCAGCTATCTGGGAGGCTGAGGCAGGAGGATCCCAAGTTTAAGGCCAGCCTGGGCAACTTGTGAGACCCTGTCTCAAAGTAAAAAGGGCAAGGATGCACCTCAGTGGTAGAGAGCCATAGGGTTCAGTCCCTGGGACCACACACGCACACAAACAGCAAAGAGGATGAAGACCGTGACCACAATAGTAACAGCAGCAACACGGTGGCTGTTCGTACAGCACCCATTTGTGTTTCCGCAGCCTCCTGCTCTAATCAGTCGGCAAGGCCCCGGGTTCAATCCCCAGCACTGACTGCAAAAAAAATTTTTGTTTTTTTTAAATTAACTCTTAAACTTCAAAAGAACCCTGAGGCAGGTACTTTTATTATTCCCTTAAGGATAAGGAAACTGAGGTACAGATAGGTTACTTGTGCAGGCTCACAAAGCAGGTAAAGAGAAGAGCTAAGAGTTGAACCTCAACAGTCTGATCCCTAAATCTATTATCTTGAAAAATATCCCTGGCCTCAAAGAACTGTCACCAGAGGGAGGAGCTGAAAACAGATGTACTACAGATTTTTTCCCTAGAGTCTCAGTCTCTCTCTCTCTCTCTCTTTTTTTTAAAAGACTGGGCCTATGCTGCCCAGGCTGGTCTTGAACTCCTGGGCTCAAGTGATCCTCCTGCCTCAGCCTCCCGAGTAGCTGGGACCACAGATGCCCCCACGTCTGCCTTGCGCTGGAGACTTCTGAAACTCTAGCCCAGCTCAGCGTAGGAGGGGATCCGCCCCTCACGGCCTCTGCCTGACAGCGAAGGGAAGAGCTCTCTGGGGAAGACCACATTGCTTCAGCCCTGTGGTTCCTTTGTATACAGCGTCCAAAACACAATAAAAAAAAAAACCACAGGACACATGACCAGACAGGAAAATGAGACGGAGGAGAGGAAAAGGGGCAGCAGAGGCAGACACACGAATACGACAAGCTGATGTCCGCAGATCTGCCACGTGTGGGGTGTGAGCTCCAGTCCCAGCTGGGGATGACTTGAGCCCAGAGATTTGAGACCAGCCTGGGCAGTGCAGCAAGACCCCGTCTCAGAAATCAGTAAACAAACTAATAGCGTAGTTAAAATCAGAGGAGAAGACAGGCACAGTGGGCCAAGAGATGGAGAAATTCAACATCAAGATGAAGGCTATGAAAAACAATGAAATTGGACATTTTTCAAATGAAAATATAATATCTGAAATTCAGAATTCAATGGCAGGGTGGACAGAGACCGGAATGAGTGACCTCAAAGACAGGTGGGCAGAACACTTCCCAGGTGAAGCACAGAGGTAAAGGAGTGGGCACAGCTGACGTGTGACACCAGGCGGACGTACGTGGAGCGGAGTCCCAGGAGCGCGGAGAGAAAGCGGAGCAGGAAAGAAGTTCAAGAGAAAACCGCTGAGAGTCTCCCCGGAGGGTGGACGGGACTGACCCCCAAGGCCCGGTCTGTGCTGCCGGCCGCTGTCTATGAGGTCCCTCTGTGGCCCGGGGCGTCTGCTGATGAGTGGACGCACAGCCCCACCTTCCTCTCACCCAGTCGCGTCCCACTGTCCCCCCACACCCCCTCAGGAGGTGTCAGGATAATGCCACTTGTGGCTAGGGGCTGACAGTAGGTCAGAGCTACGGTACCTCAACTGCTCTGTGAAGTCACTGGTGCCATTACTGTCCCCACTTTCCGGGTGAATCTAAGGCTGGAGAGGCTGCGGGCTCCACAGAGCCTGCGGTAGAACTGGCCTCTCGCCCCTGCTCTGACCCGAGAGCTCTGGCCTTTCCCACCCTGGCCTTGGGGGACCGAACCCTGGACCACGTGACCCACCCCTCCCTGGCCTGCTGACCAGCAAAGTCATGTAGCCGTGGCAGAGTGTCCCGTGCGAGTGACAGCAGCGGCAGGTACAGCTCGGCCACGCGGGCCTTCACGGTGGCTTCGGCGTAGCGGGGGTCCGTGTCGTGGCTGCACAGCAGGGTGTGCACGGCGCTGATGGCCTTCTTGTGCAAGAGGGATGCCCTGCGGGGCGACGGGGTGCTCAGGAAGGAGCACGTGCTCCCGGCGCAGCCACTTGCCCTGGGGTCCCGCAGAATCTGGGCTCACCCTTCGGCCTCAGGTTCCAGGGCCAGAGCCAGCTCCGTCAGCAGGAGCCCGGCCAGAAAGTGCTGCTGCCGGAACAGTCCGCTCAGCTCGAACATGCTGGCCACCTTGGGGTCCGGGGCCTGGCTGGAGAAGGTGGAGCTCTGCAGAGGGTCGGGAGAAACGGGGGACGGCAGAGTGCCTGCAGTCAAGGGGCGGAGGTGAGGTCACCTCAACGCCATCTTGGAGTGACTGGAGTTATGATATCATGAGATGAGAGACTGGGGTAACTCATCTGGAGGTGACAGCATGGGGTTAAAGCCAGCACTGAGAGTCTGAGGTCACCTATCTGTAGGTGACAGGTCATGGGGTCAAAAGTCAGAAGACTGAGAAACAGCAGGTGGAATGTCACTCTCAGATTCAGGGGTGAAAAAATCAAGCTTTACTTCCAGGGAAACTGCCAAGACTGATGGGCCAGGGTGAAGGTTCAGAGGTGAAAAGTCAAAGGTAAAGGGTCAGCCCACCTTGGCAGGAGCCCTGGGTCTCAGCGGTCCAAACAGAAATGAGGGAACCACAGAGGATGGGCTGAGGTGTGTTCCAGGCCAAGGGGAGGAGGCAGAAGTGGAGGCCCACCTACCTGGGAGGTTGTGGAGGACACAGATGGGGAAGGCGAGGCCGGGGGTGACAGGGGGCAGCAGGGGAGGTTGAGGGTCACGTAGTGCTCGTGGCTGCACAGGATGCGGGTGAAGTCCAAGCGGAGGGTCAGCAGCGCTGTGGGGTTAGGGGCGGACTGTAGCCGCGTGGCCACCTGTAGGGAAGGGGCAATCACTGGGGATGCCAACGTGGCCCTGCGCATCACCCCATGTGTCCTCCGCCACGTCACTGGCCACGCTGACGCCTACCTGCTTGTAGTGAGCTCGCACCAGGTTGAAGACGAAGCCGCGGTCTGCCAGGGACAGGAGGTCACTGAGGAAGAAGGCCAGGCTGGCGTTGAGGCGTTCGGCCAGCTCTGCGTCCTGGGGACACAGAAGCTCTCAGTCCAAATCCATACTGCCTTGCTGGGCTGTCACCAAGGCCACTAGTGACCTCCACGAGCTGTGCCATTGCCCCCAAGCCCTGGGTCATCCTGACAGCTCCATCTCTGGGCTCGAGGAACTCAGTCCCTTCCTGGCTGTCCTCCCTGACGTCCCTCCCTTCCCCATGCTCCATCCAGGATGCTCTCTTCCTTCCACTCTCACCCAGATTTGAATAGCATGCCAGCTGCAGAGCTCGACTCCACTCCAAGATACTGCAACTTTGTCCAGAGTTCAGAACTGGGCAGACTACATTTCCCAGCCTCCCTTGCAGCTGAGCACAGCCATGTGACCACAATCTGGCCAGTGGGATTGAAAAGGAAGTGAGGCGACCACTTAAGTGGAAAGGTAGGTTTTCCCCTTCCCACAGCCTGCAATGTCTGATGTGGGCGCCATGGTGAACCCCCAGGGCCAGGGCCAGGGCCAGGCCACACTCTGGAGCTCCTTGTAGCCTACATACGCTCAGAAATAAACTCTGTGATCAAAGCATTTGAACTTTGTGATTTTTAAAGCATTTGTGATTGTGTTCAAGCACATTAATCTCTGCCCTGATACACACATAGCAATCATTTAACAAGCATCAATTGAGCACCTGCTGTGTGCTTAACCCTGTGAATGAGACAGACACTGTCCCGTTGCTTGTCTAACACACAGTCTCATGTGGGGAAGAAAGACAATAAACAAAGGAACTGCAGGTTCAAAGACAACAGAACAGGGCGAAATTTCACAATTTCCAAAGGATGAGAAAGAGCCAAGGGGAGAACGGCATTCTAAGTAAAGGGAACAGTGAGTGCAAAGGCACAGAGGCAGAATGTGCCTGGAAAGTATGAGGAACAGAAGAGACCAGCAGGACCTGAGATCTGGTGGGGCCTTGTTCTGCCCTCCTGCTCTTGTCAACCACTTGGTGGCCTTACAAGTTAGCCTCAGTTAGTTCCCTGCGACCCTAAAGGAACTGGACTCTGAGTCCACAGGAGGACAGAGACTAAGTCAGCCTTCTGTATGGAGGCTGATAGTATTTGGCAAATATTAAGTGAGTGAATGAAACACAGTGGCTGTGGCTGATGTCCCCTGGGGGCAGCCACAGTGCAGCTGCTCAGGAGCACGGCTCTTCCCTGCAGGCCCTCTGGGGCTGGTTTCTGCACAATCCAGGTCAGCCCTTGGAAAGGCTCCCGTGAAGCCAGACCTTCAAGACCAGCCAGAGGTCACATGGGATTGTGCAAGGGCTGGCTTGGGCCAGAATGTGTTTCAAAAACCAGAAAGTTCCTTTTGAATCCTAAAGTGCTATTTCTCTTTAAAATCAGACATCAGGTCTCAGCAGAGACATTCCTGCGGGGTTTGGGCTGGCGGGAGCTGAGCAGGTTGCCCGTCTGAAGCATTTTCTGGTCACCATAAGCCCCCCTCTCCTCACTGAAGCTGGCAGTGAGGACCCAGGCTCTGCAGCGGGTGGATGGCTTCAAGTCCTCATCCAACCCCTTTCCTGTGTGTGGCACCAGGTTAAGCCAATCAGTTATGCTCTGCCTCAACATCCTCGTCAGTAAAATGGAGACAACAAAACTAATTTCACAGTTTTCATTGTGGCATACTCATAAATCATGTCTGTAAAATACTTTCAAACCGAAATTAAATAATTTTATTTTATTTATTTATTTATTTTAATATTTATTTTTAGTTTTCTGTTGACACAATATCTTTATTTTATTTTTATGTGGTGCTGAGATCGAACCCAGTGCCCTGCGCATGCTAGGCAAGCGCGCTACTGCTTGAGCCACATCCCCAGCCCAAATAATTTTATTTTGCTCTTAAAAATTCAAAAGAAAGGGTCTGGGGCTGTGGCTCAGCAGTAGAGCACTCGTCTAGCACGTGCGAGGCCCTGGGTTCGATTCTCAACACCACATAAAAAAAATAAAGGAATAAAATAAAGGTATTGTGTAAAAAAAAAATTAAAAGAAAGATTTTGAGCAAAAAAAAGAAAAAAACCAACTTAACTATGGGCTGGGGCTGGGGCTGGGGCTCAGCAGTAGAGCACGTGCCTAGCACGTGTGAGGCCCTGGGTTTAATCCTTAGCACCACATAAAAAAATAAATAAAATAAAGGTGTTGTGTCCAACTACAACTAAAAACTAAATATGGGGAAAAAAACTACCTTCATGTGCAATTAGGAGAACTTTTTTTTTTTTTTTTTGGTACTGGGGATTGAACTCAGGGGCACTTGACCACTGAGCCACATCCCCAGCCCTATTTTGTATTTTTTTTTTTTTTAG